CACACACACACACACACACACACACACACACAAACATACATACATACATACAGTACATACTGTACATACATACTCGAAAAGCATCTTTTCCCCATTTTTGAACTGTCACCATTGGCACATAATGCAACAAGGATAGCTAAAGTAGCTATCAGCTACAGATAGCTAAACAGATTTTACTAATAAACCATCCAATCTCTGTGTAAAAATAACATAATGATGCTGCCATTTTTCTAAATTCATTTTCTCCCCCTGTAATTTGGCTCAACTCTCAAGTGAAAATTGTCATTTTGACGGCCCTTTACAAATTAGTGGATAACTCAGCAAATATTCATCCATGACATTTAATATTTTGGCTTCAATCACTATTTTTGTTAAAAAAATTTACTTAATCAAACAATTTAGCCTGGAAAGCTTCTGAGATTGGGTTGAATGACCCTATAACTTCTCTCATGTGCAGTCACTGGCAGCTGTATATAACTAAATATTTAGTCATGTGACAGAGAGAGGGGTTCTCAAAATGTTATCATCTTCACAGGTCTCACCTAAGTCTCTGATCAAAGAAAGTGCTTCCCAGGAAATGGCGACCCCACCTCCATCATCCATAGCGCCCTGGCCCACGTCCCAGCTGTCCAGGTGACCACTGAGCAGCACCACCTAAAACAGAATCAGAGCAAAATCATACAAATGAATAGTAAAATAAATATTTCATAACATATTTTCTCAGCATTGTTTCCTTTGTTTTTTTTCTTTTCTTTTTATAGTTACACAATTGTTTATTCATGTATAAAAAGGGTTTACATAACAGACTGTAAAGAGAAAAAGGCATCCTGGCAACCTTTTCCAGATGTTGACTGTCAGTCTAAAATGGATCTTGTCAAACCCAGGCCACAGTGAAAGCCTTTAAACTGATGGTCTAGATTAGATTTAAACTCTAAACATCCTCCTCTCATAGTTCTAACACAGGGCTAAATATATCCCTCTACTCCACCGAGAGCATCTTCTACCACTTTACATTCACTTTCGGCAGAGCTGCAAAACTTTAGGAATATAGCTTACAAATAATGCTCTCCAATTTTGTTTTATACTGTCAATCTGCCGTTCATACAATAGCCTCTATGGGCTGGTCAAATTTTATGGCAATAAACATCCTGAATGCTTGTAAAACTCATGAACATTTGGGTAATAAAGCTCAAACGAAGTCTGTTTTTGAGACTCGCCTCAGTTAAGTGAGGATTTTCCAGTTGATTTGTCAGCTATCTACCTACAGCATCCCGTTGGCAAATATACAAATGCTGTCTGGACATCCGCCAATCAGCTACAAGCCCACTCCCTCCAAATGTATTTTTGAATACTGTGACAGATTTTGTCTATACCGTGTCATGTTGTTGTCAGTCCCATGACAGGTTAACACTCCCAACAGCATCACGAGAAAAGGCTAACGGTAATCTATGCCAACCATCTGTGAGTTACAACGGGTGAACTCTAAAGCAACAGCCAACGTGCCAACAGCAAAAGTACAAAAACATTCTGTAGTGACCGTTCTTTTGTGTTGAACAAAATCTACTGTGAGACTTGTGCTTTCATGATCAGACACCAGAAACACACAGATGGAACGTCTAGGTGGAAACAGTTCAGACTGTTCTTTAGTGCTGCTGAATTATTAAACAGGAGACAAATCGGGTCGTTATTTTGTCATTCTTGTGCCATTTCAAACCCGAATGGTGTTGCTTTTTTTCATTTTGAAGACATTTTGAAGAATTTTTTTACAGTATATACAAAAATAAAACTGCTAATGGCAGCTATCAAGCTTCAAAAAGGACAAAGAGCATAATTAAATTAGACAATATGACTGTTGCGCAATTTGTCAAGTCTACTAAATTCATAAAGTGAGCTAAAAGAGAGACATTCAAGTTATTATTTACCAATAATCTTCCCTTCCATAAAGCTTTGAAATGTCATTCACATTTGTGTTTAAACTCGAGTCAAAATGGCCTGTAAAAGTCAAAAATACACTAGCATTCATAAGTTTGGGGTGTGATTTTTTGTTGTTGTTTGGAAGAAATAATTACTGATATCATCATGGATTTACTTTACTGAACAAAAGTGATAGACAACATTTTTATTTCAAGTAAACACTGTTCTTTTCACCATACACTACCGGTCAAATGTTTGGGATCAGTAAGACTTGTAATGTTTTTTTTTTTAAAGAAGTCTCTTATGCTCATCAAGGCTGCATTTATTTGATCAAAAATACAGAAAAAAACAGTAATCTTGCAAAATGTTATTACAATATAAAATAATGGATTCTATTTTAATATCCTTTAAAATAATTTTTTTTTTTGTGATGCAAAGCTGAATTTCAATCAGCCATCACTCCAGTATAAAGTGTCACATGATCCTTCAGAAATCATTCTAATATGCTGATTTATTATTAGAATTGTGAATGTTGACAACAGACAACAAAAAATATTTTTTTTGGAAACTGTGATACTTTTTTCAGGATTCTTTATGAATAAAAAGTTAAAAAGAAGAGCATATATTCAAAATATAAATCTTTTCTAACAATATAAATCTTTGCTATCACTTCTTAATAATTTAACACATCCTTGCTGAATAAAAGTTTAAATTTCTTTCAAAAAAAGAAAGAATAAAAATGTACTGACCCCAAACTTTTGAACTGTAGTGTATATTGTTAGAAAAGATTTCTATTTTAAATAAATGCTCTTCTTTTTAACTTTTTATTCATCAAAGAATCCTGAAAAAAGTATCACAGGTCCCAAAAAAATATTAAGCAGCACAACAGTTTCCAGCACTGATAATAAATCAGCATATTAGAATGATTTCTGAAGGATCAAGTGACACTGAAGACTGGAGTAATGATGCTGAAAATTCAGCTTTGAATCACAGGAATAAATTAGATTTTAATGTATATTAAAATAGAAAAACGTTATTTTATATCATAATAATATTTCACAATATTACATTTTTCCTGTATTTTTGATCAAATAAATGCAGCCTTGATGAGCATAAGAAACTCCTGTAAAAAACATTAAAAATCGTTCTGATCCCAAACTTTTGACCGGTAGTGTATATATTAAGCAGCACAACTTACTTTGTACTCTGATAATAAAAAGAAATGAGCACAAAATCAGCATATTAGAAAGATTTCTGAAGAATGGAGCAATGGCTGCTGAAAATTCAGCTTTGCTGTCACAGGAATAAATTGCATTTTAAAATCTATTATAATAGAAATCAGTTATTTTAAACTGTAATAATATTTCATAATATTGCTGTTTTTACTGCATTTTTTTATCAAATATATTGAGCCTTTAAAACTTCTAATAAGAAAATTCTTTCAAAAATCTTACCAACCCCAAAATTTTGAAATAATAACGAATAAAATAGATCAAATAACACTTTGAGTAAATAAAGGGTAAATAAAGATTTTTTAATTATTGAGTGAAATATTCATTGAAATTCCTTCAAGAAAACAGTCACTGGTAACATGAAATGTGGAAGTAAATTTGGCATAATTTCCAGCATTATGCCACCGCTTACACAGAATCAAGAACATCTAAAAGCTTTACGTCAATGCACAAAATCAACATAAAATGTTGTGTAACTTCTGGCAATTTCTGTAATCCTCTTCAAAGCCAGCTCACAAACAGAAACTATTTTCCCCTTCTTTCAAGTACAAAATGCAAACAAACAAAAAGTAAACCAGATTTCTTCAGAGACTGATGTTAGACCGGCACTGCATACATTACTGGTTTGGCAGGAGGACCGGCCTAATTTTATGTGGTCCTGAAATATGGAACTGATGGATTAATCTAAACAAGTTTTTATGCATAAAAGAAAATAAAAATATTTTTCTAATTGCCGTTTCGGTTTTGAATATATTTCAGTCTAGTCTAGTAATACTGACAGCATAACCATGCTGTCTGGCCAAACACGGCATGAGAATGTGAAAAAGAAAGGAAAAACAAAACAAAAAAGACTCAGGAATAGGCCAAAAAAAGCAGGTTTAGTAGTGAGTACTGAGACAAAGAGAGATCTGTCTCCAGATTAAACTTAACTTCCTAATAACTATGTGACAGGGTGGCATGTAAGGGCTGACTGACCTCATAATTAAACACTATCATGTCACCGTTAATGAGTTCTGACAGGATGAGGCTATTAATTACGAAGCACTGAAATATGAATGAGGGAGCGAAATTAAGAGAGTGCACAGGGAGAGGATGAGTTGAGCCTAATGAGCCCGCTATCCAAGGGGAGTAATACTGAAACACACAATTCAATATTCTGCAGTAAATCTGGACCAGACAGGGGCCAAAACCTATAACTAGCTGAACAATCAAGATGTGTAAATGAAAATTTTATCATAATTTTAAGTTAGGATAAAGTTAGGATAACTTGTCTTAAATCCCTAAAGGTAAGATGTTTCATGATTTTATTGGGTTGTTTCTAATACAGTATTAAGCGTTACAACATAACACTGGGTACATATAATACATTTCACTCATAGTATGGATGTGCATGAGTACTTCTAAGTAACACCAATTATAATGTAAACAAAAATAGATCATGATTAAGTATGAGGATTAAGTCACAGCTCTACAAAAATAACTCGTATAGAGATCTCAAAAACGTGCTGCTGAAAGCTAAATTCCTGTCAAGTCATTCACAACGGAAACAGTTTGCATGCTGCAGCCAGCGCAACAAATTTCCTTTAAGATGTTTTCATTGAATTGATCAACGACTCTATTCAGTAAGAACCGCCATACAAGCAGATAACTACAAACCTTGTAATTTTCTTCTTAAGAAAAAAAAGATGTCCCTTAATTTACAATTAACTTGACTGAATCAGTGAAAAACAGTCGATTTAATATAGGTACACTGTGGCGCTGGTGTTATGAAAGGTATACTCTAAGTACACTTTATAATAACTTTCATTAACAGCCCAAACAATGCAAATGCTTTATAATACATTTTTTTAAAAAATTCATGTATTTGAAAGAAGATTGTTCACCCAAAAATAAAAATTCTATCATCATTTACTCACACTCATGTTGTTCCGATACCTGTACGACTGACTTTCTTCTGCAAAACACAAAACAAAAGAAGATATTTTGAAAAATGTTGGGTTACCATTGACTTCCATTGTGTGGACACAAAACACTGAGGCATTTCTCAAAATATCAAATATCATCTTTCATTTTCAACAGAAGAAAGTAAGTCATACAGGGTTGCAATGGCGGGTGAGTTTCTGAATTTTCGTTTTTGGATGAACTATTCTTTAATGGGTTAATGTTATTATAAAAGTTATAAAGTATTTTATATGGAAGAGAGAGAGACTGACAGACATGCCGTTCCAGCTGCTTTTCTAAAACACGTAACTATACAGGTTAATAGGGGTCTTACAGAATAGGGTCTTCTTTCCAAAAACCTAGGAATGTGGCTGTAAAACACATCAAAATCTTCAACATATGGTTAAAACTGAATGATTGCAGCAACCAATAAAAACCCAGAAGAGAAGTTTTGACTGGTCTACCACAACTAAAATGTTTTCCATAAACAACAGTACTCATATTCTGACCAGCCTAGGTGTCAGCAATCACAAGCCGCGACACAAGGATACATTTTCTACGTGTATT